AGCCCCCGGCCGGTCTCGGCTGCATGTCTCCCAGCCCCCTGACCCAGAGGGCGGAGGGAGATGCTCATTCCTCCTCGCTCCCGACCTCACGCGTGCATCCCGCCTCCATTCATGTGTTCATCCATACTATTCATTGCATTCGCATTCATTCAACATTTATGCCTCCGGCTACTCAGCGTTCAGAGCGCACCTACTGTGTGCAGGCGACCCCAGGCAGCTTCGGAGAGCCACAGTGCAGAGGTGGATCCCAGCTCCCCCCCACCCCCGGCCCTGCTGCCTCACCTAGCTGAGGAGGATGATGGCACAGGTGGGTCACCGGGGTGAGACATGTCGCCTGCATCCCCTCCAACCAAGCTCCGGCTGTTGCTGGGGCAGCCAGCTCCCAGTGATGCCAGAAGGCCCTGCTCGCCCATCTCCCAGCCTCTGATTCTATCTGCCTCCCATTCTTTTACGTTCATACCTACTTTTCCCTCTTCCAAGACAGGGACAGTAGGTAGGGGCAGGAAGGGTGGACCAGAGGGGCTGATGAATTCAACATACATTTTCTAAGCTGTGTGCCAGGCAATGAGCAACAATAACGCAGCTGCCATTTGTACAGTCCCCATCATGCATAATGTCATTTAATCTTCACATCAACCCAGTGAGACAGTTGTTACCATCCCCATTTCACAGATAAGGACCCTGGACTCACATGGTTCAGTGACTTGCCCAAGGTCATACAGCAGAGGTTGAGCTGGGATTCAAACCTGTGCTCTTCTCCTGGTCTACCCTCCTCCTTCACCAGACAGAGGCACCCAGGCTCACAGGCGGACAAGTCCTCCACAGTGTGAGGAGGGCTGTGGGGGTGCCCAGCAGCTGCAGGGCACAGAAGGACAGGCTGATTCAGCCAGGGTGTCAGGACAGGCTTCCTAGAGCAGGAACACAGAGATCTGAAGGATGAGAAGGAAGCCCTGCAGAGGTGATTCAAGGCAGAGGAAATGACAGGGGCCAAGGTGTGGAGGTGGGGCCATCCGGGAGTCACAGGCGGGTGAGGGATGATCCCTGGCATCAGGCCATCACCTTGGCCATCCTCAGTCTCAGGACCAGACCTTCTTCATCCATTGGATCCACCCGCCTCTCTCACCCTCAGAGGTTCACACTCCTTCTCTCCTAGAAGGTGAATCCTGAGATGTAACCTCCATCTTCCCTGTTGCAGCCAAAGCCTTTTCTCAAAGGAGCTGGAGATGCACCATTAGGCATAGTGTGTGGGAGGGAAGCTGGGGCAGCACAGGAAATGGGTCAGTGGCCTTCTTCACCTGCTCAGAGCAGGAGGGAGGACTGAAGCTAACCCTAGGGCAGATCTTGGTCCCTGGGCAGGCATCTGAGCAGTCAGTGACCAGTCGGTCAGAGAATCCATGTGGTTCCAATGCTCTTTCCTGCCTGCCCCAGGGGCTGGTAGAAGTAGGAGAATAGATGAGAGGATGCGTGTGTGTGCATGAGTTTGAGTATCTGTAATTAGAAGTAAGGGCTGTGAGTGTGTATCTGGGGAATCCAATGTGTGGCTGTGTGTGTGTTTGTGTCTCTGAGCATGCATCTGGGTAGGGGACAAGCTCTGGGTTGATGACTGGGGGTCACTCTGGGTGGGATGTGTCTGTATGGGTCTTGATTTATCTCTGTGTGTATTGGTGTTTGTCTGTGAGGGTTGTGAGTGTGTGTGTGCACTCAGGGGTGTCTGTCTCTCTGTGTGTCTGAATGTGCGATCATGGCTTTGACTAGCGCTGGCCTCCCAGTGTGTTCCCCTGTGAGTGTGGGAATGTGCGTGTGGTGTGCCTTTGTGTCGTGGCTCTGCGAGTGTGCGTACATGGAACTTGGTACGTCTGCCTCCACAGCGATGACTCATCTAATCCCCCACGTGAACCGCCCCATCTAGAGCTGTGACTGTTGGCTAGGTAGGGGCTGGGGAGGGGGCTGCAGCACATGCGCATGACAGATCATGCGGGGACACTCAAATGACAGCTGCAGCAAATAAGGTACAGCCAGTGATGCAAAAGGTACAGACCCTTCTGTGCCTGTGTAGGCGGTGGGCCCCAGCTGAGCCCGCACAGCCCAGGCTTAGAACCCAGCCCAGAGCTTAGAACACTACGATTCAGGGCCCCCCAGACACCCTGGGTTAGAGTGAGCAAGGGGCCTTCCAGGTCCCCCCAAATCATTATAACAGGAGTGCATGTGTCTGTGTGGGGAAGGAGTCAGGCTGAGAATCCACCCCTATATCCACAGTATCCCATTTCATGAAGCCAGTCCCATTTACCCCTAAGAGGGATCCCGATTGTCAGACCTCCTCTTCACCCCTTGGTACCCCAGAGATGGCCGCTTGCTCCCCAGGACAAGGGATCTGGAGTGATTCCTTCTACCCCAAAGCAACAGATCTTTTTTCCTGCCCTATCAGACCCTGGTCAGGCAGGAGGCTCTGGGTCCCCAGATCCCTCTGGTCCTGAGTCTGGCTCCATTAGCCATGGCTTGAGGGCTGGAGAGGCCAGTTATTTGGCATATGTGGGCATGGGGTAGCGACCCTGGAGTGTATGCTCAGAGAAAATCCTGGGGTCCCAAGGAGGCCAGTGATGCTCTAGGAGACCCACCAGGTGCTTCAGCGGTTTGGTCCTTGGGCTCCACAGCACTGGCCTCTGAGAGCTTCTGGCAAAGCACCTGTGCCCAGGGGAGGGACCCAGGGACCTCATATCCTCCATCTCCAGGCTGAGCGCTCAGCCTGGCGTCTCTCCTCCCGGGGAGACCAGCCTGAAGCCTTTGCTTTGGCCGAGCTGTCAGTCAACCGTGGCCACATGACCTCTTTCCTGGAACCAGCCAGTCCCAGCCTTGTTGATCTAATCCTGAGCCTCCGAGGCACAGGGCCCTGTCACATCCATCTTCAAGTGTCAGCCTGGGCACTGGCCCCAGGTGCTACCTTTCCCTCCTTCCCAATTCCAGTGTGACTTACAGTAACCTCTGTCTGGCTAGGACTAGAGTAATTGAAATGTAATTGCGTTTTTAACTTGCTAATGCTGCCACAGGCCTAGGATGGGAGGGGGTCACCCTGGGCAGAGCAAAGGTGCTTCTTAGAAGAACAGAGATCAAAAAACAATTGGAGGTGTGGGATGCGGTGAGGGGGCACCAGCAGTGACTGGGCTGTGGGCCCGGAAAGGGGGAGTCTGAGGGCTGAGTCCAGGCAGGCCACTGAGGCAGCTGGGGCGTTTTGGTTCTTAGACCCAACAGTACTGGCCTCTGGAAATTCTGGACAAAGTGCCATGCCCATGGGAGGGACCGAGGGACCTCATGTCCTCCATCTCCAGGCCAGAGGCTCAGCTTTTGTGCCTCTTCTCTTTGGGGAAGGCTGGCCCTCTTTCAGGGTTTGAGTGGCTGGAAGGGAACCAACATCCACTGAGAGAACAGGGGCCCAGGGCCTGAAGTCAGGCATCCTTGGTGGTCATAAGCTAGGGAGCACCTTCAGGCGGGGGGCAGGAGCTCAATGGGAAGGGGCTGGAGGCAGCCCCTTCTGTCTGCTCACTCGCCCATATACGCACTCAACAGACACTGACGGCAGGTGAGCTGCAGAGCTGGGGACCCTTCTGGTTAGGCTGGGGAGACCCCCATGTAAATATGGGTGGGGATGAGTATCAAATGCATTAGGGTGGGAGCCTGTGGAATCAGGGGTGGGGGTAGGATGCAGCTGGGACCAATAAAGATAGTGTATGTGAACCCAAAGGAAAAGCAAGCAATCCCCACTGCCCCTGAACCTGTTAGGTCTAGTGTTGAAAGGAGGTCAGGAGCACAGGCTCTGGGGTCAGAAAGGCCTGGATTAGAATCCTGGCGCTGTTGCTTACCACCGCCTGCTCTTGGACTAGTCACTTTACCTCTCTGGTGGGCCCTCGAAGATGTCCATGTCCTAAACCCCAGAATCTGTAAATAAGTCACAAGGCAAAAGAAACTTTGCAGATGGGACTACGTTAAAGATCTTGAGATTGGGAGATAACCTGGGTTAACCAGCTGGGCTCAATGTAATCACAAGGTCCTTGGGAGAAGGAGGAAGGAGAGTCAGAAAGAAAGAGAAGATGTGATGATGGAAGCAGAGGTTGGATGATGCCAATGCTGGAAAGGGCCATGAGCCAAGGAATGACGGCAGTCTCTTGCAGCTGGAAAAGGTGAGGGATGGATTCTTACCTAGAGCCTCCAGAGGGAATGCAGCCCTGCCAATTCCTTGATGTTAGCCTCATTAGACTTATTCTGGACTTCTGAGCTCCAGAAGTATGAGAGAAAAAATTTCGTGTTGTTTTCAGCACTGAGTTTGTGATAACCTGTTACAGCAGCCAGAGGAAATAATGCAACTTCTCTGTGCCTCATTTCACTGCCTGAAACCAGCAGGAGCCTTTGCCAAACCGAGTTGTGTAGGGATTCACTGCAAACAGGCAGGTGTGCAGAGTAACAAGTGCTGGACACCAGCAAGACAGACACATTTGTTCACATGATACTTTAAAAATAACTTAACGTTTAAAAAAATCAGAGTGGTCTTCTTAGGAAGGGCTTTGTCAGACATCCTTTACCTGTCATTTGGTATTATTTTTATTTTGAGTCATGTATTGGTGCTGGAGGCTGGAATAACAGTAGTAATAAACAATGATCATAGGATACGTGTTCTGGTATGGTTATTTCGACACAGGAACATACAAGGGGAAGAAGAGGCCTGATCTTCCTGGGAGGGGTGTATGTGTGTATGTAGACTAGAGGTGAGAGGTATAGACTAGGGGTGAGAGGTGGGTAACTATGACCTGGATCACCAGACAATGGAGGAAAATCTTTAACAGGAGAAAAACTAAGATAAACAAAAATGTTCCAGAGGCAACAAG